GGCTGCAGGGAAAAGGCCCATCCACGTGAGGCACCTGCAAAGCACCAGGCCCAGGTGGGGTGACAAAACCACTGAGAAGGGACCAAAGACCCACAAAGCTGCGGGGTGCCTGCTAGAGGGCCACTGTGTCATGGCAAAGATCAGAAGAATTCCAGGTCATTGGGCAATTCTGAAGAAGCACCCCAGGGAAAAATCCCGAGGTTCCAGATACACTGAGTCTTCCTGAACCCAGCACACCCTGCGGGCCTCCCTCACTGACACTTCCAGGGAGAGGGAAACGCAAAAGCTCCCTTCTGGCCAGGGCTGAGAACTTGATCAAATTCAGGCACGCACACCCATGCACACTCAGCAGTAAATTCAGAGCCATGGAAATCAAACCTTGAGCTCACCCAAAGGCCAAAGGAGAAGCAGCCACAGCCTCAGTCCAGGGCTCCGGCTTGGAGCCACCATCTCCTCAGACGCTGGCTGCCAAGGCAGAGCTATAAAATATGCCTCTACTTAATTTTTCCATGGACGCAACCCCAGATGCGAATGCCAGGCTCCGGAGGAGATGCAACTGTGTAGCCTCATAACATCTCTGCTGTAGGACGCACAGCTGGAATTGGGGAAGGAGGAGTAATCTGGGATCAGGTTTGCTACCCTCTGGAACATTTCTCTTCCAATATCTTTCCAAGGCCTAGTGCAGCAGTGGAGTAAGTTTTCATTCAGCAACTGATACAGGCTTGGAATTCAGCGCAAATTGCTTACATCTGCCTGGCCCCATCCCAGACAGGCAGGTAGTTTAGAGAGAGAAGGCGGGGCAGTGTTGGCCCACTTCTGGAAGCCCGGGTAGCTGTGTGCTAAGGAATCTGGTGCCATGCTGGGACCAGCCAGCACAGGGTACAAAATTCCCCAGCGAATTGAGGGGGAAAAAACCCAACAACAACACATCAGGGCAGCAGGAGACAATAGAGATTCCATTCCAGGCGTGGCTGGTGGGACTGGGACAGGGAAGCCACAAAGACCCCAAAAGGGGGTGGGGACAGAGGGAGAGAAGGTTGGCCAGGAGGAGCAAGAGCAATGGCAGATTCTTCACACGCACATACAAACACGCACACGCACCCTCAGCCAATTAGGGTGTGTGCACTAACCTCATACGTTTGGTAACCTCTTTTCACAACCCAGGAGCTGGCCAAGCCCCTTGGGTCCCCACCCTACCCCACCCCAGCTTGGCGGCGTCCCCTGGGCTTCCTGCAGCTGCCATTGCTCCCCAACATCAAAGTCGCCGCTGTCGGGAGCTGAAAATGAGAGACAAGTACCAGCCAGGAGAGCAGCGCCTCCGCGGAGGGCCCGGAAAGTCAGGCCTGAGGGTCCCTCTCCCCGCCTCCCCCCCGCCCAAGCCTCTCCTGGTGCTGCAGTACCCTTATAAAGGAGAAGCCGAGTCTGCCACCCGCCTGACTGGAGAAGAAAAAAAAAAAAGCATATATTCCCCAGGCTAGATGCTGACTTTTCACCCACCGCAACAGAAAGCACCACCCCCTCACCCCCCACCCCACTCCGGGGCAGGTTTTGCTTTTTATTTCTCATCTTAAACCAACCCCCAAACCATTGGTTGGTTCAGATCGCCGAGCAGCTGGAGGGCAGGAAGTGTGTTTAGAGGAAAGGGGTGGGAAGGGGGGGACCCGGGGACCCGAGACACCCCGAAACTGCTGGGGCAGGGTGGCGCAGGGAGTCGGCAACCTGCAGGGCGCCGCGGGCTGGAGCTCTCGCTGCCACCGCGTCCGCAGCTCGGCCGGCCGCCGGGAACCCGCGGCTCCTTCCATTGTTGCGTCGGCTGTTGCCATGTTGGAGGGAGAGCCCCTTGACCTCCGCTCCCTCCACTCGGCAGGCAACCTGCAGACCCCGGGCGGCGGCTCCGGGCCGGGTGCGCGTCCTACCTGTGCTCGCTGCGGGCTTCCCTGCGAGACCCGACGTGTCGCGTGCTCGGCGACGTGGGCTGCCCGCCCAGCAGCTCCGGGCGTCCCCGGCACCCTCTCCGCGCCGCAAGCCACTAGCGCCGGCCCTGGAGGGGGTCCCGGGGGCTGGCGCGGAGGCAGCAGAGGGCGCGGGACCGGCTCGGGGGGCGCGGGGGAGAGCCCTCCGGGCCAGGAGCGTGCGCGAGCCCGCAGAGTCAGGCCACCCCGGGCGAGACAATAGCGGGAGCAGCGGGCGGGAGCGGAGAAGCCATCTCCCGGAGACCCGGCGCACTGCACGGCGACGCGAGGCGCGGCCAGCCCCGGCCCGGACAGGCAGCCGCCCGGCCGCCCGCTCCAGCCTGCAGCGCCGAGTCGGCGGCGACCGCGAGGGCGGGGCGGGCCCCGGAACCCCGACCGCCCTCCACCTCCCGCTCCCGCCTCCCGCCTCGCTCGCTCGCTCCCTCCCTCCGTCCCTCCCCGCGGGGGCGCGGGCGGGAGCGGCGCGCGGGCGTCCGATTGTGCTCGGGAGCCCGGCCGCCAGCGCCGCGGCTTCCCGCCCCGGGGGAGGTTTCTGCAGATGGTCGTTACTTCTCTCTGCGGGGACCCCTTTGCTCCGTGTCAGATGAATGCCAGGTCATTGTGCTGAAAATGAACTCACGTATGGATCCGAGGACTTTCCCCCGCCCCCATCTTTATTAGGACTGTGACGCCCGCCGAAGTCCCTACCTTGAGGGCGGCGGAGGGGGAGCTGTCACTGCGAGGTGCGCTCAACCTCGTTGGTTCTTCTGTTCGTCCAAGTGGGTCGTCCCACCTGAACCCCGGAGAATAGCAATCCTTAGTGGGGGGGGGAGGGGCCTCCAACCCAACTATGGTAGGGAAAAACCCCACTTCTTTCATTCAGTAGGTCATGGTTAACATTTTTACTCTAAGTGCCTTTCTTTGAGCAATGGTCTTTAGTAGAATTTTCCCAAAGACTCCACCCAAAGGAAAAAAAAAAAAAAAAACAGAATTGGCCAGCTCCTCACTTGCATTTGCTTTGCATGGTAACCATGGTCTCTGATCTCAAAGTACAGTTTCCTCAAACTTGTGTCCTATTCTCCTTCATGGCCCTCCTTCCTTTCTCGGATCTGTGAGGACCAACGCCTGGGTCCCAGGCTCATCCCTTCAGGTGTCCAGGGTCTCAGGGTTCCCAGCCTCCCTCAGACACCCTAGGATGCCCCCAGCCAGGGGACCCCATGGAAACATCTGCCAACCTCCCCCTTCCCTGGTCTCAAGGAAATATTTATGGAAATGCTACTATTTCAGTCTGTTTACGGTTTACTAGAGCTGTATTTTTTTTAAATGTCAGAAGGGCCTTTTTAATAAGATCCAGGGCCTTTAAATTTGCCTCATTAATACAAAACTGTACAACAAAGCCAACATGATTCTTAGATTCATAGTTATAGAATTTGACAAGGCTCCAGAGCTCAGCAAGAGGATATTTATTAGGAAGGGAATTTGAGTAACCCCTAATGGGGAGGAGAAGCCTGCATTTCTTCTCTCTACCCTCTGCCAGGTGATCAAGGGTAGTCTACCCTCTGAGGGTCAGTAATAATATCGGCTTCACTTTCTTTCTTTTTTTTTAAATTTATTTCTGAGAGAGAGAGAGAGAGAGCATGAGCAGGAGAGGGTCAGAGAAAGAGGGAGACACAGAATCTGAAACAGGCTCCAGGCTCTGAGCTGCCTGTCGGCACAGAGTCCGACACGGGGCTCGAACCCACGAACCGTGAGATCATGCCCTGAGCCCAAGTTGGACGCTTAACTGACTGAGCCACCCGGACGCCCATCAGCTTCACTTCCTACTCAGGGCTGTTGCGCAGATCAAATGAGAGGATGTGAGTGAAAGTTGTTAATGACTAGACAGAATGCGCGTCAATCATAATGTACACATGATCCTATTCCTGATCCTTGAGAGCCACAGGGGATAAAAACAGGTGTTTATTCACTCCCTCATTTACCACTTGTTTGCGATACAACTATTTGTGACAGCTTACTGTGTGCCTGTCATTGGGCTCGGCTCAGAGGCCTGAGAGAACAGAGTAGCCCAGAGGCCATCAGTGTCTGTGTTGTGGGAGTGAAAAGTCCCAAGTGGAGAGCTGACAGCAAATAGGCCTGGGTCACTGGGTTGAACATCTTATCAAAGGCTTTCTACTGCGCTTTGGTGGGGAGGGAAAACTTTCTTATAAGAGAAACCAGGGCATGCCAAAGGGTTCAGAGTTCATCCTGCAGGTGACAAAGAACCCAGGGGGGTAGACGAGTGGAGCTGGGAGTGACCTGACCAGAAAAGCCTTCTGACGTATTACACGGGAGGGAGGATTTGGAAGATGCACTGGGTGTCTTCCCTTTGCCCCTGCAGATTGGCCCTTCCCTTGACCCCCTGGCTTCCTAGTAGGGGGTGGCCGCTGGGGAGCCCTGGCAAGAGATGGAAGGAAGGAGGTCAAAGAGGTCTGGATATTTGTTTCTTGGGATTTCCTTCTCTTTGGAGTCTCTGTGGGCTGGCTGCCACCCTCAACCAAAGTTCACAGCTCCCCCTAGCTGGTTCCCTCTCCCTCTCTGTCTCCCCTTTTCTCAGTTCCTTTGCCTTCTCAGGCCAGGGGGAGGAAACCTGCTTTCCTGCTGGCCCGATGTACTGCACTCTGTTCCTGGGGCTCTCCTTTACCCCGCTGACCCTTTGTAAATTGTCTCTTCAGACTGGAGTGTGCCATTTGCTCCCTGCCAGGTTAGGGACAGCCTGTTAGAACAGGCTGAGAGCTTAGGAGGCCGGGGCTACGTTCAGAGTGCAAGATCAGAGAATCTCTGATCTGCCAGGGCTGTGGCAGTGAGAATAAAAAGGAAAGGACAGATGCAAGAGATGGGTAGGAAGTCACATCAATAATATTTGATAGTCTGTTGGATGTAGGGAGTGGGAGGGAGGGATCTAGAATCACTCTCCACTCGATGCCTTAGGAATTGGTGGCCGGTGGTGCCAGTCACTAAATGGACTATGTAAGACAGGGCCCAGGGGTTGAAGGAGAAAAACCTGAGTTTATTTTTGGACATGTTGGGTTTAAGGAATCTGTGGAATGTTTAGGTGAGGTTGTCTGGCATACAGTGGATTTCTGAAGCTAAAGTCAGAGCAGAGGTGTGGACAGATGACACCAGTTTTGGACTCCTCAGATTATAGATGGTCAGTGAAACTGTGGACATGCAGGAGATCACCCAGGTGGCCATGCAGAGGAAGCAAGAGCCCTGCAAAAGAAGTGGAGAAGAAGCAACCACGTTGATTGGGGGGGAACTGAGACCACAGTGTCAGAAAGGAGGGTGGGGGGAAGTGTCAGGAAAGTGGTTTGGAACACAGGTGTGGCAGGGACACACAGGGAAGGCAGGGCTGCGAAGTGCCCGCTGGATTGGCTGGAAAGTCTCCAGGACCAGCGGAGTGAGAACAGTCACAGTTACACCAGGCTCCAGCCGGTTAAGGAATAAGAGAGACACAAAATAACATTGAGCATTTTTTTGTTTGTTTTCTAGAAGGTTGACAGTTCATGGAAAGGAGAAATATACGGCAGTGGATGATGGGAAGAGGGCTGCTGGATCAAGGGAAAGATTTTTGTTATGTTTTTTCTTTTTCAGCAGGGAAAGCTTAAACATGTTCATATGTTGAGGGGGAAGACCAAGGAGATAGATGATTAATGAAAAACATCCCAGAGGGGATGGGATCCGGGCACACGGGGGTGGAGTGGGCTGGGATATCTAAGAGGAAGGGTACCACAAGCAGCTTGCGTAGATTGGTGAGCCTAGAGGTTAGGAGTGAACCGGCTGCTGCCTGATGGTCCTGAACTAATTTCCTGAGAGAGGAGGGGTCAAGCAGGGCTTGAGGATTTAAGGAAAGTGGTTAAGGTTAAAACAGCCACCACAAGGAATGAGGATGGTAGCTTCTTAGAAGGAAAATGGAATTGTCAGCAGAGTGGAGGATGTGGCTGGAATCAGATATTCTGATATACAGTGGTTATGATGTTAACATTTTCATCATTTTTCTTCTGCAGGTGTAGAATGTTAAATCACGGCTGGGAACGGAGGTGGGCGTGGGAGTGGGGGTGTTGCAGAATAGGTACAGTTGGAGGTTAAATGCGAAAGAGGGCTCCTAACAAAAGAGGAAGTGGCCAAGGAGGGATGTGAAGCTGGGGAAAGGCTGTGAATCTTGAGGAAGGGGCTACCTCCAGTCTTGCTCTGCTCCTATCTCTTTCCCAACACCCCAGCCAGAATGATCTTTCTAGAGCATATGTCTGTTTGCCTTGCACGGCAGCTCCGTGAGGGCAGGGATTCTTTTTTTTTTTTTTTTTTAAGTTTGTTTGTTTATTTTTGAGGGAGGGAAAGAGCAAGAGGGAGAGAGAGAATCCCAAGCAGGTTCCATGCTGTTACTGCAGAGCCCGAATCAGGGCTTGAACCCAGAAACCATGAGATCATGACCTAAGCGGAAATCAAGAGCCTGACGCTCAACTGACGGAGCCACCCAAGGCATTCCAGTGCAGGGATTTTTTACCTTGGTTTTTATTATTTTTTAACCTTTTTTTACCTTAATTTTTAAACTTCTGTACTTCCCAGAGCCTGGAACAGTACCTGGCATGTAGCGTGTGCTCAATAAAATTTGTCAAATGAATGAATGAATGACTCCATATAGCTCTTGGATGAAGCTCAAACTTTTTAAATCAACAAGGTCTCTCATAATCTGGCCCTTGCTTTTCACGCTAGCTTCAGAGGACGAAGACTGTCTTGTTCATTTTGTATCCTCAGAATGCCCGTAATGCCTGTATTTAATACATGGGGCTTGAATGAATCACTCCGTCCCTCATTCCAAGGCAAACTCCATGTTGTTTCTAGAATACATGCGATTCCCACCTAGGGGTCTTTCTACGAGTTCTTCCCACTGCCTGGAAAGGGCCTCCTACCCGCCAAAAACCCACCTCTGTTGCCCTACCCATTATGTGGCTGTCTGGAATGTATAAATATGTCATCTTACATGGCAAAAGGATTGTGCAGATATGATTAAGTTAAACACCCCCAGTTGGGGAGATTAGCCTGGATTACCCAGAGGAGCCCAATCTAATTACATTGGTCCTTAAAAGCAGAACGCTTCACTCAGCTGAAGTCCGAGGGAGAGGTGGTGACGGAAGAATGGTAAAAGGGATAGGACACTACTGGCTTTTACACTGGAAAACTGAGGTCCGGAGCCAAGAAATGTGAACATCTTCTAGAAACTGGAAAATGTAAGGAAACGGATTCTCCCCTGGAGCCTTCGGAAAGGAACATGGCCCTGTTGACACATTGATTTTAGCCCAGTGGGACCCAAGTGAGGCTTCTGATCTACGTAATAAGCTTTTTAAAAATAGTTCCTCTACATGTATAGCCCGATGTAGGGCTCCATCTCACAAGCTATGAGATCGTGACCTGAGCTGAAATCAAGAGTCAGACGCTCAAGCAACTGGACCACCCAGGCGCCCCTAAGACAATAAACTTTTAATCCACTAAATTTGTGGTGATTTGTTAAAGCAGCAATAGCAAACTAATCCACCCTACAATTAGCTTTCCAGGAAGCTTCCCTAGAGAGCCTCCCAAGGCTGCTTGGATTGTAACACTTACCACAGAGTATCAGAATTGCATGTTTGCTTTTCTCCTGATTTGGGGAGGGGACGAATGAGGAGGGTAATTGGAGTATAAGCTCCTTAAGGAGAAGGCAATCTCTGTTGGGTTTACCTTCGAATTTATAGGATGGATTCATTGCCCGATCCAAAGCTGGTGTTCAGTATATACTTGGTGAATGGGTGAATGAATGAAGCCCTGGTTACTAGTCAGGGAGCAGGTGGTTGAAAGGAACAAGAGGAGAATGTGAGTAAATGTGTGCTGTGTTCTCCCAGGGCTCGGCTCTGGGCCAGGGGTTATCCGTAAAACAAGCTTGAGCTTAAAATTGCAAAGGGCAATGTCTGTGCCATTTTCATTTAAAAATCCTTCAGTAGACTTTCTTCAAAAAGATCCAAATATTTTTGTAAGGTGAATGGATACTGGAGATGGGACAGGGAAGCTCTGTGACTATTTGGTGATCAGATTGATTTCAATCCCTTTGAGTACTACCAGCTCCCAAATCAGTCCCGCTTCTCTCTTGCACCTTTTCCATGACCCAGAATATTTGGGGGCTGCCTTGTTCGGGGAGAGTATGAATCCCAGTGTCTGAGCTCTTGATGCTGTCCAAGACTGTTGGGCTTCCAGCCTGCCTGTATTCTCAGAGAGGAGCGCGGTGGGAGGGCTCACCGGAAACCCAGGCTTCTTTCAGTTTGGAGTTACTAGGACCAAAACGCCAGAGGAGACTTCTCCAAACAACTTCTCTGTATCATGCATCTCCCTGGTACCTTGTAATGATCTTAACTCCAAAGACGCTGTACAGTGATGATGGAAGGTGGGGTCTTTGCATAGGCAGCTACACCTTGGCATTGGTTTGGAATACCTTGGGAAAGCCTCTTAAAATTAAACCTTTCCTGCTGGCCTAAAATCCCACCATTACAGGGGCACCTGCGTGGCTCAGTTGGTTAAGCATCCGACTTCGACTCAGGTCATGATCTCACAGTTAGTGGGTTCAAGCCCCATGTCAGGCTCTGTGCTGACAGCTGGCTCAGAGCCTGGAGCCTGTTTCGGATTCTGTGTCTCCCTCTTTCTCTGACCCTCTCCTGCTCACGCTGTCTCTCTCTCTCTCTCAAAAATAAATAAAGCATTAAAAAAAAATTTAAAAAAAAGTGCATCTGACTCTTGATTTCAGCTCAGTAGTGATCTCACGATGGCATGGGGCCTGCTTGGAATTCTCTCTCTCACCCTCTCTCTCCCTCTCTGCTCCTCTCCTCCCCCCATAAATGTATAAACATTACATTTTTTTTCTTCAACATTAGAGATGTGCTTTCTGTCTCTTCAATACAATTGTGTTCAGCTCCCAACAATCCCCGTGATTTCCTTGCCATGAACCACTGTGGGACTCTCAGGAAGAGGAAGACAAGACCTTACCTTCCATGTAGGTACCCCCAAGTCCCTATGAAAATAATTTCCTCTCAAGGTGTAAGCCAAGGTTTGCCAGCTGTAGGAAGAAGATTATGTCAGGGTCCAGGTAACAGATGGTGTCACTGAGAAGGCAAGAAGGAGAGTGAACTGCAGAGACTTTTCTTGCTCCACAACTTTCCCCAGCTCTGATACAGAGCTGATGGTGATTTTCAGCCAGGTGAGTCTGGTGAATGGGGGTCACAGGAGGCTGTGGGGAAAAAGTATCCCTTTAAAAATTAGTGGGGGAACACCCGAAACTAAATATAACACTTTAGGTTAAGTATACTCAATTATAAGAAAAACTTAATTAGAAAAAGATAAAATAGTGGGGGAAATTATGTTTAAGAAATGGGGGGAGGCAATATAGAATCTGTGAGACTAGACTGCCCTCTAGTGGGAGAATTAAGTTCGACAGTTTGTGTGACGTGAGACACGGAGACATGCTCTAGGAAGAGATGGCACTCCTGTTTGTAATGCAACGTGGGGAAAAGTGGATTCAGTTCACGTTACCTCAGGTGGGACACTGCAATGTTAACAAGCCAAGCTTTTGACTCGACTTTCAAACTTTGCCATTGCCTCTATGATACAATTTTTCTCCTCGGCCCGAAATAAATTTGGTCAGCTGTCTCCAACCTGGCACCTCCTGTCTCTACCTCTCTCCATTCCAGCCACACTAAGCTATTCACCATTCTTCACACCCAGTTTATTTAACACAGTGGATGCTCAAGAAATGTCTGAGTGAATAAATGACAAAGGTCTGCTGGCTCATTACAATTTACTCTGCGCACCTCTGACAGTTATTTGTTGACATTCAACCCTGACCATGTGTTTTTCTTGCCGAAAACACAAGGGCCCCATCCTTGTTTTATAACCACGGCCTTTCTGCCCGTGCTCCTCGCCCGCCACTCTGTACCTGAATTCTTATTGCTGCATTTATTACTTTGTTAAAGTGGTTTTCTTAAGTGTCTGCCTTCTTTCCCTGGCTGTGAGCAGGATCTGTGTCCCACAGACCTTCGACTCCAAAGCTAGCATAGGGCCTAAGCCATATTAGATAATCAATAATTATTCAGTTAAATCATTTCTTCCTGTTGCATTTTGAGTCTGTTCCTCCTAATCTTATTCACTGTGGGAAAAGTAATAGTGCGGTAAAACTTCAGATTTAGATGGTATCTTACAGGTCGTCTGATCAATTTCCCTCGTTTTATAGATGTGGAAACCCCGGACTGCTCAGGATCACGCAGTTTGTTGGTCTTTGTTCTAAAAGAATCAGACAATTGTGGGAAAGAAATTCCTCCAACTGAGGTTGAGCTGTTTTGTTGTTCATTGTGTTCAGAAGCCTCAAATTCCCAGAAACAAAAATGAATTCCCTTATCAGTCTTCAAAATTTCATAATCCTGTACTCCCCACCCTGTGCGTCAGGGCTGATGAAACTGATTCTGGGACAAACCAGGCTGAGCCGGAGATTTATATTCCGAATACTCCACGTTGTTCCCACCAGTGCACACGGACACGGCTTTAGAAGTGCTCATTTTGTGAATCTGACTTGGAAATGGCAACTTGCCTAGAAGGCAGGGAAAGGCAAAAATTCAATCAAAACTGAAATTAAAAGTCTAAGCTCCTCTTCTCTCTTCTAAATTTGGACCCGCCTTTCCACCGTCACTTCTATCTTCTTATATTAGCTCCTCGATTCGTATATCAAATGTTTCTTTCCTTCTTTTGTGCTGAGGAATGCTTATCTAACAGCTATGTCATCTACTGAATGGAAATGTATTTTTCATTAAAGGGAAAGGTACTGTCATCTGGTTCTGTAGAATAACTGAAATTAAGAGGTCCTATCGGTGAAGTGATAGATGGGAGACAGAAGAACTGTAACAAAGGGAGGTTACAATGCTATATCTAAAAGTTTAATGTTGGTTGCCTTATCCTGTAAGTTGCTACCATTTCATTTCAGAGTTCAGCAGATATTGGCAATTGATTAAATATGAAATACGAAAGAACTTGAAGAACACATGTCTTAAGTAAATGGAGAAATAGAAAAATGAATGCTTATTTTTCTTTATCTTGCTAAAAAAAATCTTTCAATATGGTTTACCAGAGAAGTAACTTGTTAGAATTATATCAAGTAAACAGAAAAGCAGGGCTTCCCAAGAGTGCCCGGATAGCTCAGTCGGTAGAGCATCAGACTTTTAATCTGAGGGTCCAGGGTTCAAGTCCCTGTTCGGGCGTCTGTGGCTTTTGCCCCCTTACTTACATTACCACATATTACCGTATGAAAAATCCTAGCACCGAAGCAAAGCTCTATCTCAAATTGAGTTTGTTTTTTCATTGCTTTTAGAATACGCAAGGTAAATATGTTCTCAGAGAAGAAAAATCCAACTATGCAAAATCACTCAATTTGTTGGGGGATATGGAGGTTTTTATGTGGTTTCCCAATGAGACAGAATTTGTGTTGTTCAGATTGTTAAAGATTGAGGGGGAAAAAATTATGGCGGAAGTTAAAGCTAAGCGCCCGAACAGGGACTTGAACCCTGGACCCTCAGATTAAAAGTCTGATGCTCTACCGACTGAGCTATCCGGGCTCTCACAAGAAAATGCTCTTACTACAATGCCTTACATAAGAATAAAGAACCTTGCGTAATCGAGTCCTCCCACCTACATTTTCTGGAACTGTTTTAAACCCCAGAAAGCTCAGGATTCATACAACAGAGAAACGGAAGACCTAAATCATGTACTTGTCACAGCTGTAGCAGCTACTTCAGAATTGAGGTTTTTATGTGCCTGTTAACCATTATTACGTAGGCTTCTTTGATTTGTAATCTCTCCAATACGTCCAGGATTAAGAGAACGGCGAGGTATATCACTTTTGAAGCGTTGTAGTGGCATCAGGTCTATTTTATCATTGACAATAAGGTAGATATCAGTTCTAAAACTGACCCGACAACAGAAAAAAAAAAAAAAAACAGTCTCAGAGAAGAGTATAGATATGCTGCTGGAAGCTATTGGGTTGAACTTCATAGTATAAAGTGGGAGAAAGGACCCTGCAGAGGGATAGTGTGATTGTCCTGTAAGTCCCTTGAAGATGTCCAAGTAATTTCAAATGACGCAAACCCTGGAGAAAGTCACCAGCAGTGACCCTGAGAGCCAGAGAGGAAAGCTGAACGTGCCTGCAGAGAGATCTTATTGATCATAGCATTGAAGGCTCCTAGCAGCATAAGCAATCTGAGCACTGCCTTCTGCTATAGGGCTGGCTTTAAGAATTACCCACCAAAGGGCTTAGGGTGAGACATTAAAGAATATTCCATCTGCCTAATTCCAACGCTTCAAGAGTGATTGTTCAGGCCCAGCAATTTTACCCCCACCCCACCTTCGTCCTAAAGAAATAATCAGGGATATACAAAAAGACTTGATTACAGGAGAGATCGTCATGGTATTTTGATTGGAAAATATTGCAAATGACAGAAATGGCTATATAAATTGTGGTACAGTCTTGATACATGAACTATTATGTAGCTATTAATAACCATGTTATAGAAGAATACAACTTGTGGGAAAATGCAAAATAGTGTTAAGTTAGGAAATATTTCAAACCAATTTTTTAAAAAGGTGTATATACGTACATTAAAAACCTGAAAGCATAAATATGTTTCTACATAAAGTCTGGGTTCTGAATCGAGGTGCACCTGTTTGAAACCTTACTTCCACTGTGGTGATCTTGAGTAAACTACTTCTCTGTGTCTCAGGACAATAGGATAATTGTGAGAATTTTTAAGGTAGCTTATACAAATTGTTTGGAACAGTGTCTGACAAGTAAAAAGCAATCATGACATCATATAAGGACTTAACGGCAAAGACGTAACAGGAACAGACTGCAGATTCTGCTCTAGCGTTCAACAGTGTCTACGCTTCAACAAGGACTTAACTTATTTTCAACAATCATTTTTTTAATCAAGATCTAATCGGCATATAACATTAGCTTCCAGTCTACAACATAACGAGTCCGTATTTGTATATATTGCAAACCGTCACCACAGTGAGTCTAGTTAACATGTGTCATGACACAGTAACACGTTTTTTTAATTATGGTGAAAGCCTGGAAGATCTACTCTCAGCAACTTTCAAATATGCATTACAGCATTATTAACTATAGTGACTGTGCTGTCGCTCACTGTCACAGTGATGACACTGTGCTGTCATCAGGCTTAACATATTTGAATGGACTCGAGGAAGATATGAAGAATTTTAAAAGCTGACAATATTGTGTTAATTCCAGACAAACAGAATCACTTTATCCCCTAAGCAATGGGGGAGCTTTTGAAAGTTTGGCTCAGGGCACCTGGGTGGCTCAGTCAGTTGAGCATCTGGCTCTTGACTTTGGCTCATGTCATGATCTCGAGGCTTATGGGTTTGAGCCCCACGTTGGGCTCTGTGTTGACAGTGCTGAACCTGCTTGGGATACTCTCTCTCTCCCTCTCTCTGCCCCTCCCCTGCTCACACTCTCTCTCAAAATAAACAAATAAATTCAATAAAAATATTTTTTAAAAAAAGTTTGGCTCAGTTATGTTCCAGTTTCCCACTCAAAGGAGCACACATTAGATTTGTTTCATTTGTGCTACAATAAAATCAATATTCAAATATTTTCTGTAAGAATCACATCACCAGAATTAATCATCTGCCCAGAGCTAATGGTACAATGGTTTCTAAAATTGGCTCTGTGCAGACGGGGTGCTTAGTTATCAAGTTAGGAATATTAGACTGCCTTTTCTTTGCTCAAAACCCGTTGGCTCTCCCCTACTACTTTATTGAGTAATACATGGAACATTTTACAGCACCATTCAAAATCCTCCACAATCTGGCCCTGGTCTACTTTGCTATGAATATGATGCAAACCAAAATTGTTATTTAAAATTTTCCAGTAGCCACATTAGAAAAAAGTAAAAAGAAACAGATGAAATTAATTTTAATAACATATATTATTCAACCCAATATTCTAAAATATTATCACTTTGATATGTAATCAATATAAAGCATTATTGGGGCATCTAGATGGTTCGGTCAGTTAAACATCCAACTTTGGCTTAGGTCATGATCTGACAGTTTGTTAGTTCATGCCCTGTGTCAGGCTCAGAGTCTGGAGCCTGCTTCAGATTCTGTGTCTCCCTCTTTCTCTGCCCCTTCCCTGCTCATGTTCTGTCTCTCTCTCTCTCTCAAAACTTAACATTAAAATAAGTAATTAAAAATTTAAAAATATAAAACATTTTTTTAATGTTTTATTTATTTCTAGGAGACAGAGAGAGAGAGAGAGAGAGAGAGAGAGCGCGCGCAAGCAGGGGAGGGCCAGAGAGAGAGGGAGTCACAGACTGAAACAGGCTCCAGGCTCTGAGCTGGCAGTCAGCACACAGCCCGATGCGGGGCTCGAACCCACGAACTGCGAAAAAATATAAAACATTATTAATGAGATACTTTATAGTTATTTTTCACTACTAAGTCTTTGAATATGATGTGTATTTTATACTTATAGAACATCTCAATTTGGACTAGCCAAATTTCAAGCCACAGGTAGCTGGTGAATATTAAATTAGACAGTTGATTCAATACCAAGCCAATCTTTTACTCAGTAACCAACACTTTGACCAAAGTAGATTTTTTTCAATTTTAAGATCATATCTTCTAATTCCTCATCTCTTTCTCTCCTCATTATTTGTGCCATGTTTCTTCAAATGACTTCTCCCATTTATGCATCTTGAAATCCTATTCATTTAAAAATTTTTTTCAATGTATATTTATTTTTGAGAGAGATCGGTAGAGAGAGAGAGAGAGAGAGCACGAGAGACAGAGGGACACAGAGAGAGGGAGACACAGAATCGGAAGCCAACTCCAGGCTCAGAGCTGTCAGCGCAGAGCCTGATGTGGGGCTCAACCCCACAAACTGTGAGATCATGACCTAAGCCAAAGTCGGATGCTTAACCAGCTGAGCCACCCAGGCACCCTCCAAAGTCCTATTCATTTTTTAAGGCCCCAGTCAAATGAAACCTCTTTCACAATCTTCAATGATTGTGTTAAATAGGAAAACAAGATTAATTCAAGAGATCTTAGGCTCATATTCAATTTATAGATTCAGTAACAGAGACATGTATTTATTCTTCAAATTGAAAAAGTAAAATTGGACCTTCATGTTACAACATGCAAAAAAATCAACTGCAAATGAATTAACGGCCTAGCTGTGAAAAGGACATCTTTAGGACTTTTAGGAGAAAATATATGAGAGTATTTTTATTACCCCCAAATAGGGAAGAATCTCTTTTAAAAAAAGGACGTGAAACATAAGGAAAATAATTAATAAATCTGACTTCATTAAAAGAACTTCTGAGGGGCGCCTGGGTGGCTTAGTTGGTTAAGCGTCCGACTTTCGCTTAGGTCATGATCTCGCTGTTCGTGGGTTCGAGCCCCGCGTCGGGCTCTGTGCTGACTGCCAGCTCAGAGCCTGGAGCCTATTTCAGAGTCTGTATCTCCCTCTCTCTCTGACCCTCCCCTGCTCACGCTGTCTCTCTCTCTCCTAGAAATAAATAAAAAAAATATTAAAAAAAAAGAACTTCTGAAAAATACTTCTGTTCCTCAAAAAGACAACATTGAAAAAGTGAAAACAAGATATAGATTTGAAGATTGGTAATACATATAATCAAGAAGGATTAATGTCCAGATTATATAGAGAACTCCTACAAATTAGCAAGGAAAAGACTAACCAATAGAAAAATGGGCAAAAGATATGGACAGGTAATTCATAGGTGAGAAACCATGGTCAATAAATACGAAAAAATGCTCGACCTTACTAATAATCATGGAAATATAAACCAGAAACTCTCATGTCTACCAGGTTGATTTTTCAAGTCTGACAATACCAAGGATTGGCAAAGATATGGAACAACAGACTTACACACACTCGTGAGGAGTGTATATCTCTACAACCACTTTTGAGAGCCCTGTGTTATGATCTGATAGTGTTGACAATGTGCTTGTGACCCAATAATTCTACTCCCTGGAGTGCACAAGTGCAAGAATGTCGATGGCTGCACTGTTTGTAACAGCAAACGATGGGAAACACCTTAGTATTTATCAAAGGAGGGGATGAATAAAAAACTGTGGTGCGATCATTACCACTATGGGCTGAATTATGCACCCCCCCCATTAATATGTTGAAGTCCTACCCACTGAGCACCTCAGAATGTGACTCTATTTGGAGCCAGGCCTTTTATGGAGGTGGTTAAGGTAATCTGAGGTCATGGGGTGGGTCCTAAGGCATTATGGTCGGTGTCCTAATAAGAAGAGATTAGGGCACAGACAACTCACAGATCAAGCAGTAAGGACGAAGCAAGAAGGCAGCCATGTGCAAACCAAGGAGAAGAATCAAATCAGAAGAAACCAAATTGGGCAACAACTTGATCTTGTACTTCTAGCACCCAGAACTGTGAGAAAACAAATTTCTATTGTTTAAGCCATCTTGTCTATGGTATTTTGTGAAGGCAGCTCTAGAAAAGCACACTTAGTATATTGCTATATAACAATTAATTCCACAACTCAATATATTACTACACAGCATTACTCCACAATTTTGAAAATTCATTAACCAACCATACGTGATTTAACATTGTGGAGCTTCACGATGATGAGGGGGAAAAATGCAAGTTCCAATAGAATACATACAGTTTGATGACATTTATAAAGAATTTAAAAGCACAAAATTCTGAGGGATGATGACATTTATAAAGAATTTAAAAGCATAAAATTCTGAGGGAATATATATACATATATAAATCCTTAAAGTCTAATGAAGTGCATGGCAGGGGTGAATACCAAATTCAGAATAGTGGTTCCCTGTGGAGTTGAAGGAGGGAGATGGGACTACAGAGAACTTTTTTGTTATAGGTAAAGTTTTGTTCTTTTGGAAGAGTGCTGGGGGGAGCCTAGGTGGCTTGGTTGGTTGAGCGTCCAACTTTGGCTCAGGTCATGACAGCACAGAGCCTGGAGCCTGCTTCTGATTCTGTGTCTCCCTTTCTCTCTGCCCCTCTTCTGCTCACACTCTGTCTCTCAAAAATGAGTAAACATTAAAAAAAAAAAAAAAAAAGGAAAAGTGATGGGGAAAAGATTAGATTCTTCTTTATCCCTTTTTTGAACTTAAAAAATTTTTTAAATGTTTTATTTATTTCTGAGAGAGAGAGACAGCATGAGCAGGGGAGGGTCAGAGAGAGAGGGAGATACAGAATCTGAAACAGGCTCCAGGCTCCGAGCAAGCTGTCAGCACAGAGCCCAACACAGGGCTCGAACCCACGAACCGTGAGATCATGACCTGAGCCAAAGTCAGATGCTTAACCGACTGAACCACCCAGGCACCCCTTCTTTATCCCTTTTTGTATGTGTGAAGTAGTTCATTATAAATTTTAAAGAAATGCTATAGATCAATAACACTGACTTCCAATTCCTTTAGAACTACCAGGGGCTCTAGAAAAATCATCTCATTTAGCCATTTTATTTACAGACCGGGAAACTGTAGAACTGTGTAACTTTCTGGTTTCTAGAAATAGCTAGACTAAACCCAGGTTTCCTGTCTCTTTATTAAATAAACAGTCTTTGAGTATAGTTCTTAGAGAAGGAAGTGGGGATCACTGAGTTATGAGCTTAGGCTAATTTCATTTTCTTTTTAAGTGTCTTTGACGAGCAGAAGAAATGCTATAGTTATGGCTTATTTCCATTACAGCAAGTCATTTGATGAAGTTTTATGAAATCCTTGGGAAAGGATAGGAAATGTGTCCACATATTGACCACTAGTAGGTAGAATCATTTGTGGCTTAAGAACAACATTCAAGGATGAATGATTAATCACGAATTAGCATCAACCATGATGGGAAAAGCTCTATTCTTTTTTTTTTTTTTTAATGCTTATCCATTTTTTGAGAAACAGACCATGAGCAGGGGAAAGGCAGAGAGAGAGAGACAGACAGACAGAATCCGAAGCAGGCTCCGAGCTGTCAGCACAGAGCCCAATGCAGGGCTCAAACCCATGAACGGCGAGATCATGACCTGAGCTGAAGTCAGGTGCTTAACCGACTGAGCCACCCAGGAGCCCCGAAAAGCTCTATTCTTAACCATGTCCTATTCAGCATATTTATCAAGACTTTCAATGAAGACAAGTCAAATATGTTAACCAAAATGTTTGCAAAACGCAAAATTAAAGAGCTAATCCCTCTCACCCTTCCAGGCATGGTAAAGCACAGCTCATCAAGCATTGCACTTACCACATTCTCATTACCTGGACTGTCGGACTTCTCCACTAGACAGATTCCAGCTGTTACTTGTTTTGGAATCTTCTAGGTTGGTGTGTGGCACACAGTAGATGTTCAACAACTGTTTATCTTAAACAGTTACATGACAGGGTCCTAATTCCAAGAGTCCAGGAGACAGTAGGAAGAGACCTAAACTAACCAGATGCTATTTAAAAGATACAAAACAAATTCCTGTTTGGGAACTAAAAAAAAAAAAAAAAACAGCACTAAAATTAATTGCACAAAAAGAGAGGGGGAAACAGCTGAGAGTAGTTCTTCTAAAAAAGCCCCTCCCCTCTTATCTTTGAGAGAGGTGGTTGCTGACCTCAAGCTCTTTCAGAGCAAATGTGAAAAAGGAATTACTTTTTCGGCTCATTTACAGAAATCTGGATCCCCAGCTATGCGGAAGGTTATGCCATTAATAGAGCAAGTGCAATGTGCAAATTAAGGGGAGGGGAGGTCATTGCCTCATTTTATTTAGCATGGGTGTGTACCCAGTTCTGGGAGCCACATATTAAACAGGACAAACAGGTACTTGTTCAGAAGATGGTGACTAGGGTGGCTTGAAGCCATGTCAAGTAAGAAATAGTTGAAGCTGTGAAGGATGTTCAGCTTGCGGAAAAACAAGGCACAGGGTTAGAGATGAGACATGGCAACTGTCTTTAAATGACTGAATAGTATTCATATCGTCAAGAATGACGCCTTACTCTTCTTCCAAGTGTGTGGACATGAAACCAATGGAAATGGCACAGTAAGATACTTCAGCCCAGAAAATCCTCTAACATTTAGAATCATCTTGAAATCAATGAAATGTGGTATTTGGGAGAGATAACACCATTTGGCACCGGCGGAGTTGGAAGTCAGCCAACCTGAGAGGTTTGTTGCAGGACGTTAGACTCGGTGACCTAGTTGTCTGATCCAAGGAAGCTCCACTTTGTTCTTTGCACCTCTTTCAGCATTTATCACATACCTTCTAGTTATTCGTGTATATTATAGTTCAATTTCCCCCAATAAGCGACAACACTAACATGCTGTTTGCTGTCTCCAAGCCATCACCTCTGGGGAATAAGAATGAATACGTTAACTTTGAGAAACAGAGGAAGTGGTGTTTTTTTGGAAGATGGGAAGGCTGCCTCTGACAATGCTATTACGTTTCTGCCATCCTCGGCTTTTGATGTCATAGGGCACATCTGTAAATACCATCAGACTCTGCGAGTTCCTCAAACGTTTTCTCCTGAAACGTCACAACTCAGTCGTCCAAGTCCTGCGACTCTCTCCCCCGACTGGGCTCTACTCTATGGTAGGGAGAAGGCCGTCATTCTACCTCTCTAGCTCTCCAGCGGAGCCTCTATGGTTTCGGAGGCCTCACCGGAAGCCCTGGTGTGAGACGGGTTCAGGAGGCCGGAAGTTGCGCCCTCACTACTCGCCGTTTCAAAATGCTGCTGAGGCCTTAGGGCTTGTGACTGACGCCCCCTCCCCCACCCGCGCTCGGCGGGGGAGCGACTTATGGAGCGGCCGTAAGGTGTGGCTCTTGGGTTTCGGCGGCCGGGTCCCCGGCGGCTGGGGTCGGAAGGCGGGGAGCGGGCGGCGGTGCGGCCAGTTCGGCGGGCCTTGGAGCCGGGGCAGCGGGCGGGTGGAGCTTGAGGCGTGGGTGGCGGCGCGGGCGGAAGACGGGCTGGCGGGGGAAGGGCTGTGCGCTGGGTCCCCGCGGAAGGTAAAAATGGAAGGGGAGTGACGTGCTGGCTGCAATCCGGCTGGCCGGTTTACGAGTCTGAAATCGAAATAATCGGTCGACGATGTTTAACTGGACGCAAAACTGGGGAGATACTGAGGCCCTTTGGAGGAAAGAGGTGGGCACCGTGGGAGGCGGGAAGAGTGACACTGATGTGTCTCAGGAATGTAAGGTAGTAACTTTCAAGGGCTGCGCACCATCTGTGTCGGATGCACTTGAGTGCTTGTTTGAAGAAGGCTTGTTTGGCGGCCCCACCCAGACCAGCCCAAGCAGAACATCCGGAGATGGGGTTCCGGGGTATATATTTGAATCGGCGCATCTCCCAACTGATTTTTGTACACCGTGAGGTTTGAAAACCACTGTTTTTAAAGCGACAGCCGGAGAAGATGCTCTTGCTCTTCCCCGTCATCAGGAAAGCTGTGTGTTGGTGAGGAAGCCCCTCCACGCTGAACAAGTAGCTGTCACACCTCGTTGGTACCTTTGGTGTTAAGTATTACTGCGTCTTGATTTAGATTTTGTCTCCTCCTTCCTTCTTGACACGAAAAGGTAATTGAATTGAAAAGTGTTTATTTCATAGTACTTTGTTTTACAACACTAGGTAGGATCACACATTTTTGTTGTTCATAAAAAACAAAATAAATGTGTGCCTGAAGTTTGAAAAAAATGCACACAGTAACAGAAGTGTGTACAGTTTAACTGGTCAGCAGCCCTCACGGGTTCTCTCCTCAGGCTGGCGACTGTTAACTCCTTGATGTTAACATCCTTCCTGATTTTTTCCTACAGGACTCACATTTTTAAACAACAGGGGGATCATTTTGAATGTACTGTGTATGCGCCTTAGTTTCTAAGATGATAGCAGGGACAGCTTCCATCAAATATACATGTAAGACCTTCTTTTAAATATTTGCATAGTATTGCATTATAGAGTTGTACAACAAATGTCGTGAGCCATGTCCATCTGGATTTTTAGGTTGTTGCTGGCAGTTGTTTGTTTTGCAAACTATGCAGGAGTATACTCTTGGCTAACACTTGACCTTCCTAGGTGCCTAGCTGACTTTGTAACAACTAAGCACAGTAGTTTTTTTTTAAAGTTGTTCTTACTGCCCTCAAGTATGTAGTTGATAGAGGATCAGGCAATAGTATTTAGTAGAGGCCCTTATGGCTTTAAAGAATTAAGAAGGATTCTTTCTGCCAACTTCTGACAAGTTTTTAATTAGTCTCAAGATCACAGTTGTCTTCAAAGGTAGACATTTGAAGATGAGGTGTAGGAGTCTCCTGGATTACATGTAGGGTAAAAACCAGCCTTTCATCATTGAGAAATGAGTAAGACTGTTCCTGTTCTCTGTGGCTTCAGTCCAGTAGCAGACACAAATGAAAACCTAAATGGTAAGTGGTAATAGAGCTGCTCTGGTGTCGCCTGCTTCTCTTGGGGAATCAGAAGGCCTTGACCAAGAAAGTGATTTTTGACCTAGGTAGAAGAATAAGACTTTTCAAGACTAGAAAATAAGATTACAGAAGAGGAGAAAGGACAAGTGCCAAGGCAGTGGATTTCCAACTTGGCTGACAATGATGCCCAGGAGAAAAAAAAGTTTTATGTCGTGAACCAGTACACACGTAGGGGTAATGAATGGTTAAGCTCTGCCTCCGCAACTAGAATTCTTGGACTCTAAGACCATGCTTTTTAACAAGGTATTGTCCCCTCTGCCTCAGTTTCCTCTTCTGAAATGAGGACAATAATATATCTACCTAATAGGATTTCTGTATGGATTCAATAAGCTATTGCAGACAAGTGCTTTAAAGAGTGCCTGAGACAAAGGTGCTTAACTGTGTTTTGGCTTTTTTCAATAACAGAAGCAGGTTCCACAAAACAAAACCTAACCTTTGTTATTTACTTTTATTTTCTATTCTGCCTCTGTTTCATTAATGGAGGGGAGGGGTTAAGACCAGCTGGGGTACAACATGTAGTTTGAAAAACTCAGTACTAAAAATACCTGAGAGGTGAGTGGTAAAGGGGCTTGACAAATTCAAGAAACTGAGTTCATCATTCATCATGGTAGGTATTGAGTGGTGCACGTGGAAACTTGAAGTGGAAACCGAGGTGGAAGGAAAGAGTAAGTTGAAGACAGATCGTGTAAGCTTAATGTACACATACCCAGTGAGGGGAGTGAGTTTCTGGAAATGGGAATGAGTCAGCTCGTGAGTCAGCTCTGTAGGCCCATGTGGGATAGCCCTTCACTTTTGAGATTCACTGGAAAACCAGGATATTTTGGCCTGCCCTGGGATATTCCTAGTTCTGCTGTGTTGTGAAATAAAGTGGTGGGATTGACTTCCTTTTCAATAAACACATCTCTCTGGAGGAAGAGTCCTTTTGTTTTTTTTTTTTTAAATTTACTATTTTTTTAACTTTAAATATAGTTAACACACAATGTTGCGTTACTTTCAGGTGTACAGCGTAGTGATTGGACAACTCTGTATGTTATGCTGTGCTCACTACAATTGCAGCTACCATATTGTATCACCATACAATACTAATATACTACCATTGAGTATATTCCCTATGTTGTACCTTTTATTCCTGTGAGTTACTCATTCTGTAACCGGGAGCCTGTATTGCTCACTCGGCTTCACACATTTTGCCCATCCTTCCACCACCTCTCTTCTGGCAGCCGTCACTTGGTTCCAGGGAGAGTTTCTTTGATAGCAAAAAAAGAAAACTGCAAAAAAGACTTTCTTCCCTCGTTTAAAAGTAGGCAAATTATTTTCAGCTTCTTATACTCATCATTAGCTATAAAGAAACAAAATTCCAGAGAGCCAAAGCAGTACCAATTAGTGATGTAGATTCTTTTTTTGTAACTGGAGTATTTCCTAAGATTAGTAGTTTTTTCAAGATGCAGGAGATAAACAGAATGTTTGTGATTTCTTTCCATTTGGTATATCCCATTCAATAAAGTAAAGCTTATTGTTCTAATTCAGTATTTTTTCTGTTCTCAACATTTTAAGGAAATATTTTTTAAATGTTCTTGAGGGAGAGCAAGAGTGAATAAGGGAGGGACAGAGAGGAGAGAATTCCAAGCAGGCTCCACACAGCCCTGTGCAAGGCTCCATCCCACATACTGTGAGATCATCACCTGAGCCAAAATCAAGAGTCAGATGCTTAACTGACTGAGCCACCCAGGTGCCCCATTAATGAGATTAAAAAAAAATTTTTTTTAATGTTTGTTTATTTTTGAGAGAGAGAGGGAGAAGCAGAGCACAAGCGGGGCAGAGGCAAGAGAGCGAGACACAGAATCTGAAGCAGGCTCCATCCAGGCTCTAAGCTGTTAGCACAGAGCCTGACATGGGGCATGAGAAGTTGGATTCTTAACTGTCTGAGCCATCCAGGTGCCTCCTCTAATGAGATATCTTAAAGCATATCACAAATGTGTTGTTTTACCTTTCAATATGTTAGGATGTATTTCTTATTAGGTCAGGATTTGGAAAAAAATTACCAATGGTCCCTTTTTACTATAATTAAGTTTCTTAAATAATGTAGTACATAATTCAAAATTTCATGATTGTTTAAGGAAATATGGCATTTTACAGATGTTTTGTTTGAATCAGGACTTGAATGAACAAGGTCCACATTCTGTGTTAGGTTTATGTTTTTTAAGTCTCTTTAACAGTCTCCACATTTAACTGTATCTCCCTGCCTGAGATCCTGTAGAATTTCCTATGTTCTGGGTTTGGGTAATTATTTGCTTTTGGTATTACTTATTCCTTTACCCTCCAGTTATCCCACAAACAGGTAGTTAGTAGTTATATCTAGAAGCTTGTTTAGTTTTTTTTGTCAGGAATACTTCATAGGTGGTAGGTAGGAGGTTCCGAGTCCTGTTGCTTCACATCAGGAAGTACATGGTTTGTGAATGACGGTCTTTTAGAGATTTTTGTCAGTGGCCAAGTGCTCTCAGCCTTCTCTATGTGCTTTAAAGTTCCCCCTTCCCCAGCCTTTTACTTTAATGGTTTAGCATCTATTAATGATTATTGAGGAGGTGATATTTTACCTGAGACTAGAAGGTCCAGGATGAATTAGTCTTGTGCAGAACTCACAGTGCTACAAATGAAGGAACAAGATGTGCAAAGCCCCTGAAGCAGGAAGTAAATGAGAAACTAAAAACTCAGTGTGGTGAGCTGCAGGGAGTGTGGGGAACATGAGGCACAAGAGGGAAGGCTGGCAAGACTGCGGCCGGCTTCTGCATTTCCCTTAAGAGCAATAGCAAGCTACAGAGTAGGGCCTGGCGCTGTAGGAGTGGTTTTTGTTTAATTTTTTTTTTTTTTTAATCTTTTAGCTGTAGTGTGGAGTTTGCTTTGAAGGGGGTTAGAGAGACCAGTTAAGGATCTATTTCAGGGGAGCCTGGGTGGCTCAGTCGGTTAAGCGGCTGACTTCGGCTCAGGTCAGGATCTCACAGTTCATGGGTTCAAGCCCCATGTCAGGCTCTGTGCTGACAGCTCAGAGCCTGGATCCTGCTTCAGATTCTGTGTCGCTCTGACCCTCCTCTGCACTTTCACTCGTGCGCGCGTGCTCTCTCTCTCTCTCTCTCTCTCCCCCCTCTCTCTCAGAAATAAATAAAACATTAAAAATTTTAAGAAAATAAAACATTTAAAGAAAAGAATATTTCAGTGATGCATGCGAAAAATAACACTTTCAGGTTTGGGGAAACGGACATGGAGATGAAAAGAAGGGGTGCTTTTGCAAGATTTAGAAGTTAAAATTGATCAGGTTTGATGATGTGATAACAGGGAAAGAGGGAGACAAAGTGACTTCTAACTTTCTGGTTTAAGCAACTGAATGTCACTACTAACTGGTAGCATAGTGGAAAAGGATAAGCTTTAGACTTGGGCAAGTTATTTGACTTCTTTAAGGCTGACTTTTCTCTTGTGGGGAGCAGGCAACAATACCTAACCCTGCTGTAATCAAAAGAGATACCTAGGGGTGCCTGGCTGGTTCAGTCAGTTGAATGTCCCACTTCCGCCTAGGTCATGATCTTGCCATTCTTGAGTTCGAGCCCCACGTCGGGCTATGTGCTGATAGCTCAGAGCCTGGAGCCTGCTAAGGCTTCTGTGTCTCACCCCCTCTCCTCTGCTCCTCCTCCACTTGTGCTCTCTCTCAAAAATAAATAAGCATTAAAAACATAAAAATAGAAAAAAAGAGATTGATTCCAAGTGGGAAAAGGACAAGATTTTGCTTTGGATTCAGAGCTAGTCAACTGACTTCATTTCTCACATACGTCCTTGAACAGTGCCTTTGCTCATGTTTTCTCTCCCATTCTTTCCACTATTCTGCCATTTTAAAATCCTTTCACTCCTGTCTCCATTCCCTCTCAGTCCTCTGCTTTGCAATCAAAAGTAGTACTTCCTGCTCTTAACTTCCATGGCCCTTAAAGCAGTGTCTTTTTACATTTTTTTAATGTTCATTTTTTGAGAGAGAGAGAGAGCGTGCGAGTGAGCAGGGGAGGGGCAGAGAGGGAGACACACAATCTGAAGCAGGCTCCAGGCTCTGAGCTGTCAGC